AGTTGGTACCATTGTCACTGAATAAGTCCTGACAGTGACCTCTTCGTGCCGTAAATCGCCTGAACGCCGCAATAAAAACCTTTAGCTGTCAAATCGGTAACAGCCTCTAGGTGTACTGCTCGTGTAACCATACACACGAAAATGCATATGTAGCCTTTGTAACATTTAGCTCCTCTGCCAGGCGAGAATCTTATATTTACTGGACCACAATAATCGACGCCAGTAGACTTAAAAGGCTTACTAGGTTTTAATCTTGCTTGTGGAAGCAGTCCCATTAAAGGAATGGCCTTTTTCTTTCAATATCTTAAGCATACAACACATTCCCGGTAATATTTCTTAACTCGTTCTTTAGCTCGTAAAATCCAGTATTTTGTCCTCAAAAAATTTAACATAATTTGAGGACCTCCATGTAAAGTTTTGTGATGCGCATCTTTAATTATAAGCTTGGTAAAATGACTTTTACCAGGTATTATTATTGGATGCCTCATGTCATAACTTGTGTCTGATTGTGTTATACGACCTCCTACTCTTAGTAGCCCATTTTGATCTAAAAACGGACAAAGAGCGCGTAAAGAACTCTTCTTAAATACAGATTGTCCAATTCTTAACTGTTTTATTTCAATTAAAAATTCGCGTACTTGCCGTAGTTGTTGTACTTGCCGTAGTTGTTGTACTTGCCGTAGACATATTACTAAAGTCTCATCCATTTCTATCGGTGTTATAAATTTAGGTAAACTTGGTCGGTCATTCTTTGGTAATTTTAATCTCAAAATTCTTCTACAGTACGACATTATTCTTAACAATTTCGATAATGATGAAAATCGTAACCAAATAAAATCCTCTTCATTTTTAGATAAAACAGTTAAAGATTTGATTCGTATTTCTTCACAGGTATCTTCGACAATTGTATGTTCTGTGTTAAACTTAATTTGTGACAACCACTGTGGCCCACTCCACCACAATGGATGGGTTATCAATATCAAGTCCTTAGGTTGCAAACCTCGAGAAGCACAGTCCGCGGGGTTTGATTCCGTAGATACATGACCCCATTGCTCAAAATCTAAAATACTTAATATAGTAGACACTCTGTTACTTACGAAAGTAGTCCATTTACTTGAGCCTCCTTTAAGCCATGCCAGAACTATGGTTGAATCTGTCCACCCAAATAAATTTTCCTTTGGAACCATCATTACTTGTGATACTTCAAATATTAATTTAGCAGCTATTGTTGCCCCACATAGTTCAAGTCTGGGCACAGAAATTTTCTTTACTATTGGAGCTACCTTGGTCTTAGCTGTTACCAAATGTACATAAACATTATTTGATTGATCTATAATTCGTATATATACAGCTGCTGCAAAATCCAGTTGTGATGAATCAGAAAAAAACATGTAATTCAGTTCTAGAACTTCGAGTATAATTGATCCATCTTGGTATCGTTAACTCTTTAAGATCATTCAATTCTTCCCTGTATATTAACCATTCTCTAACTAGATCATCCGTCAGGCAATCATCCCATCCAAGACCTGATTTCCATAATTTTTGAATTAAAATCTTGGCATTAATAACTACAGGCGCAATCCAACCTAAAGGGTCATATAATCTCGCTACGACGGATAATGCCTCTCTTTTAGTAACAGGTTCTTTAGGGTTAGGCAAGTTTAAAACATAGTTAAAGTCATCAGTTTCTCTGTTCCAGCTAACTCCTAAAACCTTAATAGAACTATTAAATTTAACAAGAAGCGACTGATCATCTTGTTGACCGTCCTTTCCGATATGTTTTAAAAAACGTTTCATCATTACTACTCCATTTTTGAAGTTCAAATCCGCCTGACTTCAATAACCCGTTCATTTCAACATATATTTGTAGTGCTTCATCTAATGTTTCACATCCTGTCATCAAGTCATCCATGTAGAAATCTTGTTTCGTAACCTTTGCAGCTACTGGATACTTTGTCTCTTCTAATTCAGCCAGTCTTTGCAAACATTTGACAGCTAAATATGGTGCACATGCTGTGCCAAATGTAAGCCTTAATAGCTTGTAATGTGTTATAGAATCAGTTAAATTAAATCTCCAAACAATTTGCTGAAAATCAGTATCCTTATCAGCTACCCGTATCATTCTATACATTTTTACAATATCAGCGACAATGCCTATTTTATAGTTTCTCCCATCTTATTAATATGTGCCTCAAATCTTGTTGTAATTTAGGCCCAACGAGAAGCTCATCGTTCAATGACACGTCATTATCTCCTTTGCTTGACGCATCGAAGACAACTCTCACCTTTGTAGTGTCCTTGTCTTCTCTCACTACAGCATGGTGAGGCAAATAAAAGGCTTTTCCACTATTTAACTCTTTCTCGCATATTGGTATCATGTGATTAAAACTCAAATATTCTTCAAAAACTTTATTATACTCACCTCTCATTGGAGAATCCTTTGATATAATCTCTTAATAGCTCTATATCTACTTTCACTCTCTTAATAGCTCTATATCTACTGGCACTTTAGATTATCTGAAGCAAAAGGTAACCTTACAACAAACCTCCCTTCCTCATCTCTCACTGTAGTTGTATCAAAAAATTCTTTACATAACTTTTCACTCTTTGTCATCTCCTTTTGTATTAAATTCGGTTCATCCTCAATCTCCCAGAATTGCCTAAGTAAATCATCTTCCTTAAGCTGTACGTGCATGCTAATAAGCTTATCCTTTGCCGATGTACCCACTTCTTTGGATATTCTTCCTGACAGAATCCACCCAAAAATTGTATTTTGAGCTAATAGATTGCCTTGAGTCTGTTTTATTATTCCATCAAGCAATATTTCGCTGTAAATATCTGCACCTAATAAAATATCTACTTTACCTGGTATTGTATAAGAAGGATCCGCTAAATTTTAAATTTTAATCCAATTAGGGCTATCAAGATTAGTAGCTGGAAGCAAAGATGTTAATGAATGTAAAACATAAGCATTTACTTGTATTGAATTTTGTGGATTATGACATGATTGTAACTGAAGTGAAACCATATGTTTGATCCTAGTACGACCATCTCCCAAACCTGATACCCAGCCACTTATTGGTGTACGTGGTAGACCAAGCAACTGAACAGCGGACTCAGTAATAAATGAACCTTGTGACCCTTGGTCAAGTAAAGCTCTTAGTATAAGCTTACAACCACTTATTAACTACATTAACTCTTACCGTTGCAAGAAGCACATTGTTAGGTTTTACCTCTCTCCTGGAAAGTGCCGCCGTGATGTGTGTACCACCTTGCGATGTACTTGCTTACCTTCCTTTTTTACATTGAGATAAATAATGATTTTCATGACACATAGCACAATCCGCTACTCTAGTTTTAGATTTTTCAATTTGCATGTGAAAATTTTTCGTTTTCATAACTGCTCTGGCTTGCGGCGCTGAACGCATCATATTAGTGTCAATCATTTCCAAGGATCTGAACCTACACTCCAAATAATCTCTCAGTTGTGTCCATGTTGGTAATTCGTCGTTAGTAACATTTACTTGTAATTCCCATTGTTTCACAGTTTCTGAGTCTAATTTGGTAACTATAAGATACACTATAATTACGTCCCAGGTTTTTGTACAAATTCCCATATTTTCTAATGACTTAAGGCAGGTTGAAGTAGTGTCAACTAAGTGCTTCACTGCATTAGCAGACTCTGAATTAATTTTTTTAATGCATACAAGTTTTTTAAAATGGCATTGCAGTTGTACCTTTTATTATTGTAACGACGCACTAATAAATTCCATGCCTCCTCATAATTTGCTTCAGTGGTAGAAAAATTGCTTATTAGATTTTGAGGTTCTCCTAAAAAATTTGATTTCAAATAATGTAATTTCTGCACTGACGTTATATGATTATTATTGTGTATTAGAGAGGAAAACATATCATAAAAGGTTAGCCACTCTTCATATTTACCACTAAATGTAGGTAGTTGAACTCGAGGTAACTTTAAATCACAATGGTCTTTATCCATAGTGTCTGTTGCCGATTTGGGTATTAACGCTTGAGTATTGGCTATTAAAAACGGCTGTAATGCTTCACGTAACGTAGTTTTATATAACACATACAACTCTTCGAAAGTCTCATATTTACCTTCTGTGAAGTATGACTCTTTCTTCTCCTTTGAGGCTTTCGATATGATCGTCTTATGTGTTTCTCTAAACTCTTTAGATTATTGTTCAAGAACCTCTAGTCTAGTCTCCAAATATGACTGCTTGATTCGCTCTTTAGGTGTTTTACGGAAGTTCCTCTCTGCTTTTTTTAAATTCTCCAACAACTCCTCTTGTAAAGAAAGAAGCAACTCCATTATGTATTTGGTAGACACTAAGCACCAAACGTTACGTAAATACTTTAAAAACTTTGTCTTTCACACACGCATACAGTTTTTTAATGTTTTATTATTATATTATAGACACTTATCACTCACTATTGATGTAAACGAAGCACTCGTAATGTAAATAATATTATAAAATAATTTCAAAGTTTTCTTTCTCGTAAATCGTAGCAGGTAGGCGGCCTGTTGTTCTCGAAACTCGCCTTGCTTGACCGTCGCTGCTATAATCATCCGGCTCGAAGGACCATATGTTTCGTTAATAAGGTCGCTTTTACTTTGAACGATTATTTTTAATTGAAACAACGTCTACTTCTTATGCTCATTTATTCTCGACTGACTAACTGTCGTACAAATGCTGTGCGTTATAATATGTGGACTGTATTGACTTAACGGTACATCTCAATAAACAAATTCAAAACTGAACATCTCTGAGTACAGGGTATAATTACAGCGGCTTCCTATCCGTACACGTCGAAACTGAAATGTGCAGTTTGTTCTTATTTATTAATCCTTTGGCTTTGTTCTTTAATCCATCAGCGGTTTGCCATGTTGTAGTTCGCGGAATTCAAAACCGGATTTTTAAATGTGGCGGTTCAGTTATACATAAAAGGTTGACGGGCGGTCTGTTGGGCGCGGGCAGAGTGCAGGCGGGCGCTGTCCGCTCGGCCGGTGCACAAGAAGCAGGCGGAGACGTTCGACCGCGCGCTGCGCTGCGTGTCGCACCTGCTCTACCTGCTGCTGCAGGCGGAGGCGGAGGCGGAGGCGGAGGCGGGGGCGGGGGCGGGCGTGCAAGAGGAGCGGCGCTCGGAGCTGCGCGCGCGCGTGCGCCGGCTGGTGGCGGCCGACGTGCGCAGCGCGCACACGGGCGACTCGCTGCTGCACCTGGCCGTGTCGCAGCTCAACGTGATCCGCTCCACGTACTTCGCGGACGAGGTGGCCGCGCCGGTAACGCCCCGCACCTTCCGTTTCTTGCTATATATATCGCGTCAGTGGAACGAATAGAGAATGACGAGAGTCGTGGGCGCAGCCGGTGTTCCCGTCGGTGGCGGTGGTGTCGCTGCTGCTGGAGTGCGGCGCCGACCCGTGCCAGCGCAACGAGGCGCGCTCGACGCCGCTGCACGTGGCCGCCATCCCGTACAACTTCTCGACGGCGCTGGCGGAGCGGCTGCTGCGCGGCGGCGCGCACCTGGACCAGCCCAACAAGTTCGGCGACTCGGCCGCCGACCTGGTCGCGCTCAACCGCTCGTCGCGCGTCTGCCCGCTGCAGTATCTCTCGCTGCGCTGCCTGGCCGCGCGCGCGCTGCTGGCCGCCCGCCCGCCGCCGCCGCAGGGCGCGCTGCCCGCCGAGCTGCTGCGCTTCCTCCGCCTGCACCAGCCCTAGTCGGAACCACAAATACTCCTTACGCTTAGTGCCATGGCTTATCCTATATTCTTATAAATTATTCTAATAAATATTTAATACAAAATTATTATTCTATTATTTATAAAAACCAATTCAACAAACGAAGGACATTGCCCATTTTCCGAGGAGCTTTAGGGCCTTAGCTATTTCTATTTATTCGCCCCGGTTAACAAAATTCTTACTTTTTATGTTGCTGAAATTTAGGTTACGTCTCATAAAAATAGTTTATTATTTAACACCTTGAAAATGATCGCGTATTGAAGAAACCCTCTGCAATGTAGTGAATACGTTATTCTATTGAAATTTGAGAACAGATATTGGATACTACTTACTAGAATCTTGAAGTACTCAGTTGACTGTCGCAAATAGGACAAAAGGTTTACGGCTAAATCTTCTGTTCTCTGTAAAACTAAGTGTGATCCCCATTTCGTTTCCAGTCGTAGATTTGTAGCGATTTAGCCTCCCATGATTGAGTAATTATAAACTCAATGATACTAATAAATATATGAGACAGTTTATGTTGCGATGCCATTAGAGGTAATTCTAAAATAAAATTAGAATTAAACATTTATTTTCTTGAGTTATTTATTCTTCATAGAATACACTCAGAACACACATAGAACCACAACCCGCAATCAGTCTTAGGCTCTGAGTCAAAGAGAATGTAATCCCTACGTTTACTGCTCTGAGTAAAAGTGTTCTCAGTTCTGTCAGTTGTCATCTGTGGTCATAACCGTCATATCTGCATGCCGCGCGCTATGCAGGGTGACCATCTCAAAAATGGCGAATCTGCCAAACAACTCCAAAAAATGTCAAAAATATGCCATCATATTATTGTATCGTTGGAGTAAGTACAGTATAATTAATGATTTGTCAATGATTAATTTTCTAGATTTTCAGAAAGTTGATCCGCCCTCCTTTAAGAATTACGGCCTCTAGGTCTTTTACCCTCTATTTTCCTCATTTGACATCTCTCTTCTTAAAATATACTTAAAAGAACTTTTGCAAAGTTTGAAATATGTTAATAGGAAGTTAGAGATTTTGTTCTTAGTTAAAAATCTCTTTTGGAATAATATTTGGTTACAACTGCAAGCATTGATGTGTTGTGTGACGCTCGTATTTTCTCTTCATCGTATTTTCTCTTTATCACGCACGGAAGACAACTACACATTAAACGCCAAAAGAGTATAAGGTATAGAATTATAAAAAAATTCAAAAAACATTGACATGAACCTCGATCAGTTATACGAGTATTATTAACAAAGTAAGCCTTATGGCTGATTTGTTACCGTTAATAATAATATGACGTACCTACATTAAAATACAATAATCGGGAAATCTCCGTACTATACAGCGTGTCGTTACCATCGCGACAATAAATGAACACACGTCTAACGCTACTTGCCAATAATCATAAAAAAATGTTGAAATAAATGAACTTTACGTTACGCTTTTATAGGTAAGGGTGTTCTAAAATTCTTTGTTGTGGAAAATTTAATAACTCTGTAAATATTGATGTTTAAATAATTTAAATGTTTAATACAACTTTTAAAAGTTATCCCCTATATGTGTGTTCATTTATTGTCGCGATGATAACGACACGCTGTATAACATGGAACGAAAGTTGCCCCATCAGAAAATAATTTGCTAGCAAATAATAATAAAAGTATAATAAGACATAGAATATTATAAGTATTCTAAAAACAAATATTAATTTACAAATGTATTTCAATAATAATAAAGACTTTTCTTGAAATCTGCCAAATTCTGCTACTTTTTTGAATCGTCAGCCTAATCTGCAACTTCTAAAATTTAGACAGGCAAAATCTGTCATACTGGCAGAAATCTACCACAAAGAGTCACACTGGCGCTGTGTCCAAAAAAAAAACAAACTCCAAACGAGAAAGAAGCGGGAACTGCGTGAGGCGTCACGCGCCTAGGGTTACCAGATGGACAATTGAAAAGTCCGATTTTTTCCATATAAAAGTCATAAGATTTACTATACAATCGTAGTTAACAACCCTTGTTTGATAAAAAAAATCTAAAGTGCTCTGAATATTTGACCAAATGGGGGATTTAACGAGTATAGATGATTTTAGTTTTAAATTAGTTGAAGAAGGGCGATATTATTGACTTTGACCACCATAATTATTACTCGTACTCCTAGACTATGTAAAATTGTTTTGATTTTTGATGTAATGCTCTATAAGTTGTCTGCATCAATTTTCAACACCAAAGGTATTTCAAAATGACCTTCACCCGCACCGAGCTACAACGTAGCTCTTAGGTGGTATTTTTGTTACCTTTACTTTGTTTATTTGGCTACACGGTGTATGGTTTTGGGCCAAACAATTTGAAATTACATTGCTAATCGCCATGCTTCGCAGGTGGTGCAACAAATTTCAATGAAATAATCAAACTGTGCTATTGGCCAACACGCATGGCATAGTTTTTATTGTTTCTTAGCAATAACATATAATTTTGCTACACCATCGCATTGGGTTAGCCTGTAATGATAGTTGTGTGGATGTGTATAATATATAAATAAAGCGACACATGCCCGAAAACCATTTTCATATTTCTTTAAATGATCTATACCTTTTATCATGAAACTGCATTATTTTCCAATACTCTAGAATAGTAAACGGTAAAATTATTATTTTTTAGAGATTAAATTACATTTTTGATTTAAATCATCATCAGCCTGTCATCATCATATTTCAGCTTGTTTGAGTCCACTGCTGAACATAGGCCTCCCCCATAGACTGCCACGAAGTACGATCCTGAGCCACCTGCATCCATCGACTTCCCGCGCATTTGCACAGGTCGTCACTCCATCTAGTGGGGGTCGTCCTACACTGCGATGGCCAGTACGAGGCTGCCACTTTGGGAAACATTGAGGGATATTAGACAATCAAGGAATTATTAGGAAATCAAGTATCCTTTAAAGTAAAATACAAATGAAGCAAATATTTTTTTTTAATATATATGTATATTTTGCGTTTACGTGTAAACCGTATATTACATTGTATTAAAATCATTGTATATAAAAGATCGTACAAAATGTATAAATATTTATAAATATGAGCGATTGATATATAGCATGAACACATCAGGTATCACAAGAGCATTAAATGGACGGAGCAAGCGTATAGTGACCGGCAAACGACTTGAGCGATCGAGTGCGCCTTTCAAGGGTTTTCCGGTCACTATAATACTGTAAACATATGTAGTTATAAGCACAGGTACTAGAAGGAAGTAAGAGCGGCCAGCGCGGCCAGCGCGGCCAGCGCGGGGAGTCCCCCGCGGCGGCGGGCGGGCGCGGCGGCGCGCGCGATGTTGCGCCGGTGCTTGTCCACGACGAAGATGCGCCCGCCCATGTCTGCGCAGAAACACTTCTTTGACGCTGGGAATAGACTATCAGTGTCCTCGCGAGACAGCGCCGTCTCTTCATTCTAAAAGTTACTTCCAGCATTTTTTCTTAAATTAATTATATTTGTTTAATTAAATACGATTGTCTCCAAAATAAGACCAATGCATAAATTTTAAACGTTTTTTTATAAAATTATCTTAATTTAAAATTATTTCAACTTAAAAGATAATTTTGTTTTTAATATAATTGCATTTAAAATAACGTCATCTGTTTTTAAATGATGGCACTAAAGGAATGAGCGAGGTCCATACAATTATCAAATGTATGGACTGAAAAGAACGTGGCGGAGTCGGACCGGCGCTCGATGTTAGGCTTCGTAGAAGAATCTACGTTCGGTAATTCACACTTCGCAACGCTTGACTTTATCTACTTTTCACACAAATATGTTCGGTGTTGAGTCAACGAGGGTCAAGCGTTATATGAATGTGTGAATATAATTTATTCGTAAATTTCAGGTGATCACGCAACTGGCTTCTATTCAGTAAACTATGAAGAAATTTCTTTGTACCAGTTTGTGAGTTCGGTTCTTCGGTGAAAAATTGGTTCCTACTATGTCATTGGAATAGCTGGATTCGAGCTTATGTATATTATAAGTCCAAGCGAGAACGATATGGATTACAAATAGTTGTGATTATGTAAGTCGTTGGATGAGAGGCAATCGAGGTGGGCGAAGGGCGCTCACCGGAGTGCGTGAAGGAGTGGTAGTAGACGAGGTCGGGCCACGAGGAGTCGGGCGTGAGCGCGAGCGCGGCCGGCTCGCCCGGCTCGCAGCTCCAGCGCAGCGAGCGGTTGAAGGCGCGGAAGGTGGCGAAGCGCTCGTCGAGGCGCGGGTCGGCGCCTGCGGGCGGGGGGTGTCAGTGCGTGTGTGTGCGTGCCGAGGCGAGGGCGGGGCAGGACTCACCCGGCGGGCGGCGCGCCAGGCAGAGCGGGCCGGCGGCGGCGGGGCTGAGGCGCGCGCGGCGCGTGGGGCGCGCGCCGGCCAGCACGCGCACGGCGCGCTGCGCCGCGTCGGGCAGCCGCTCGAGGCCGCCGTGCGGCTCGGCCGTCACCACGAGCGGGTGGTAGAGGCTGGCCGAGTGCGGCTCGTCGCCGCCCGACACGCGGAACGCGTAGCGCAGCCCGCGCCGCAGCTGCAGGTCGGGCGCCAGCTGCCCGTTCACGTACCACGCGAGCGGCGGCGGGGCGAGCGGAGCGCCCCCCCCCCCCCCCCCCCCCCCGCCCCTGCCGCCCAGCCCGCGCGCGCCCCCCGCCGGCCCCAGCGCGAAGCGGAACACGCGCAGCGCGGGGTCGAACAGCTCGGCGCGCTCCCACGGACGCACCGCCTCGCGCCCGCCGCTGGCCAATTTACATTCACCGACTTGAATTACCCGCGTAACAAACATAAAAGAGCACACATCCTTTAGTTTATTCCTTTGGAAATTTTTAAATAAGCATTATAAACTGATTATTAGGGATGCAGCCTTTAACAACAAGTTTTGACGTATGTTTGAGTACTTACATTTAGTTTTATAAAATAAAAATCAGACGACATTTTAAGATAGCAGTAATGTGTCAATTCTGAAGTCCCCCCCTTGTCTTCGAACTTCATGTAATCTCCAAATGTGCATTCTCATATGTTACGTACTTTAATTGTTTGTGCACCGAAATAGTATCGAAAATAATTTTTATTTTCATCGCGTAGTAAACTTGGCCATAACATAATTTATGGACGAGATCCAAACTCGGCGCGGTCGAATGTAGCGTCATCGTGACATACTTTTACCCGGACATTCTACATATGAAAAGTACCTAATGTATTATGTGAAACAATGTTGTAAAAAGAAAGCAAAAGAGCATTCACATGATGAAGTCGAAGCAGTCGTTCTCGGGAGGGTTCTGCGCGAGGAGCAGCGAGACGTTGGCGCGCGGGAAGAGGCGGTGGTAGGCGGGCTCCAGCTCGTGGTCGAGGGGGCCCACCGCCCACACCACGTGCTGCGCGCCCTCCGTCTTCCAGCCCAGGTCCATCGGCTCGTCTGCCGTTCAGGGTAGCGGATCGCTTATACAATTCCCCCGACGACTTAAGGGCCTAACAAAGAAAAGGCGTAAGTACGCACCCGGCTGCAGCGAGCGTCGGTAGGTGAGCACGGTGAGGCCGTCCTCCCTGCTGGCGCTGAAGAGCTGGTTGTTGTTGAGGCCGCCCAGCAGCTCGTCGCGGCACACGCCCGCCCAGCGGCCCAGCACCTGCACGCACTGAAGCCGCGGCTCTGTAGCGCCGTCGCGCTCCTCGGTGGGGGGAGCGAGCGAGAGAGCGAGAGAGGGAGAGCCACTCACGGGCGCCACGGCGGTGACGTTGTAGTCCTGCGCCATGCCCTGGCGCAGGCGCGCGTCGTAGCGGGCCACGCACACGTCCGCGCCCAGCATCTGCGACCGCCCCTCCGCGCCCGACACGCCGAACGCCATGTACTCCTCCTCGCCCACCTTCAACCGCCATCGAGCCTCATTCAACAGCCTTCGGCCAGCCACCCCCTCCCCCCGCCCCCCCCCCCCCGCCCCCCGCCCCTCGCCCGTCACCCACCTGGCCGGCGAGCTCTATCGTGATCTGGTTGCCGAACACCTCCCACGACACCTGCAGGTCCCGGTGCAGCTGCTTGCAGTGCGGCAGCTTCGACCTACAATTCCAATCTCCTCTATGCATTACTTTCTTCAATATACAGCGTGTCGTTACCATCTCGACAATAAATGAACACACATATAGGAGATAACTTTTTAAAGTTGTATTAAACATTTAAATTCTTTAAACATCAATATTTACAGAGTTATTAAATTTTCCAATACAAAGAATTTTAGAACACCCTTACCTATAAAAGCGTAACGTAAAGTTCATTTGTAAAGGTCACAAAGCATATGAATGGGTTGAATGAATTTAAAAGAGACAAAACATACTGTTAGAAGGAGAGGCTTGTAATGCGACGCTATGGCGCGAGTTGTATAGGATGTTGGATGTTACAAATTTTGTTTCTTTTTTACTTAATTAGTTTGTTTGAAAAATATTTTATTTTAATTATGGATTTTGTTTAACGTTAATATTTTTTTATGATTATTGGCAAGTAGCGTTAGACGTGTGTTCATTTATTGTCGCGATGGTAACGACACGCTGTATACAAGCTTGAAATGTAAGGAATTAGGATGTAACTTTGTAATAATAGCGACTTACCAGATGAAAGATTTTGCCGTGTGCAGAAATCGCAGTTACCTGTGGGGGTGGGTGCGCAGCGCGGCGGGCGGCACGTTGAGCGCGTCGGGCACCAGCACGGAGGCCAGCGGCTGGCGCGCGCGCGCGTCCCACACCGCGATCCAGTCCACCTGGAACACGGTGCGGCCGCCGGGCAGCTGCAGCCGCACGTCCTCGCCCTCGTACGCGCGCAGCGGCTCCAGGCTGCGGACACAGAGCGCTCCGTCAACGGCCCCCGCCACCGCCCGACGCCCTCGGCGACACTCACTATCCGTGCTCGTCCGGGATGATGGTGCCCCTGGAGGAGGGCTGCGGGCCCACGCCCGTCCAGAAGTACACCTCCTCGCCGCCGCCGTCGTACCGGAACTCGGGGATCCTGTGCGAGGAGGGCGAGGCGTCAGTTCCGTTCTCCGCCGAGACGGCTCCCTCTGGCCGGAGGGGACTCACAGGAGGGTGCAGGCGTCGAGGAAGCGCACGGGCGCGCTGGAGAGCGGCACGCCGGGCGCGGGCGCCAGCGCGGCCACGGAGCGCGGCGCGGGCGGCTCGAACTCGTCGGGCACGTACACGTCGCCGAAGGCGTTCTGCGTGCTCACGTCGTACACGGCCAGCCACTTGAGCCGCGACAGCCGCTTGCCCTCCGGCAGCCGCAGCCGCACCTCGGCGTTGTTGTACCGCTCCAGTATGTTCGTCCTTCGCAGAGGTCGGCTCTCACTCTCTATCATCTCCCGACTCGCCTATATCTACTCGTATGTGCATTGCACGTTTTATGTGAACGATTTACCATGCCTAGTCAAAGTCAAATATCTTTATTCAATATAGAGAAGCATTACACTTACTTATTGATAGTCAAAAAAACTCTACCACCGGTTCAGAAGGAAAGCCTGACCGGAAACTGACCTGAGAAGAACCGGCGTAAGAAACTCAGCAGGACATTTTTTTTAACTTGACAAAAAATTAACGAATATGTGTACAATTTATTAAATTCCACTTGAAAGAGCCTGGAGCGATCAATTAATTTCCAGAGTGTGTTATCATTCAAATAATCACTAATACTATAATAGCCATTAACACACAAACATTACTTTACATTTTTTTTTTAATTTAGCAACGGATTCATTTTGAATGTTTTCTGGGATTTTGTTGTAAAAGCGTATACATTGTCCCATAAAAGATTTACTTATTCTACGCAATCTAGTTGAGGGTAGAACTAATGCGGATGCGGCAGAATATTTGAAAGATCAACAGTAAAAAGCTATTCCAATACCAAGTAAACATCTTGTCAATCCTACAAGATAACTTACATAAATGAATATTTTATTATTAAATCACAGAGTAACTATGCCTAATAAGATGGACACAAATGACTAAGATTATTGAATTTACTGTACACAAAAGCAAACTTAAATTTGGTCATCTAGCTTATAAAAGAGAATTAAAATGAAAACAGAATTTTTAGGGTTCCATACCCAAAAAGTAAAACAGGACCCTATTATTACGACTCTGCTGTCTTTTATCCGTCTGCCAGTTTGTCATCAGGCTGTACCTCATGAACCGTGATAGTTAGATAGTTGTAATTTTCACAGATGCTGTATTTCTGTTGCTGCTATAACAAAAAATGCAATTTTTTTGTAGTTTTTATAGATAAGATAAGGAACCCTTTGTGCACGAGTCCACTTTGCCGGTTTAGTTGTGCTAATCCTTGCACTAAAGATTAAAAATTAAAATTTGGAGAAAAAATAAGAAAAAGTTTTTCACTGAAGACTGAAGTACAGCACAGTAAATGCAAGAGTTAAAAAAGTAAAGAATTATTACATAATGAAAACCACAAAAGAAAAAAATTATTGAGTTTAAACCGAGGATTGTCAATACAATATGGGTTAATTTTTTGAACCAGCTTAATTTTTGTAATATTTATTTTTTATGCTGTAATATCAAGGAGCTTCACACTTTAGTCCAATAGCACATAAGGTGTATTGATGTTGTAAACAATATTTTTTGCAACAAATGCATTTGCAGAGTAATTTTTACTCTTATAATCAAATTCCCTAATGTGTAAATTTTTTATAAATATTTTTATTAAAAAATTTATAACAATTCAAATTCATAATTCTGATTTGAATACAAACACTAACTTGCCGTACTCATCAGGGACTATGAACCCTTGTGGCCCAGGTCGTCCTGAGTCACCAGCCCAAAAGAATGTGTCCTCCCCAGTACCATCATAATTGAAATTAACAAGCAAAACTGTCCAATCGTCTACTGCATATACATCTCCAGACACCTGTAAAACAATACTAAAAGTAATAGGACATAAACTTTAAAAAGAATTAAAACAATTAAAATTAGAGCCCATCAATTTAAAATTAGAGTTTAATATCAAATTGTTATCATTGTAATATAAGTTCTTATTTCCAGTTATTCAGATTTCCTGTGAGTGACGCGTAAACAACTGAAGAAATTTATTAGCAATGTGAAACATATGATTCATGATTTGACCTATGAAATTTTTCGAAAGTTAGATAAAAATAATAATTTACCTGGTGGTGATAGGAATTTAATTTGCCAATGAAATTTCCTCGATAGGGCCCTTCATCATCTTGCGAGGAGCAGTCTGGAACAATAGTATTTTAAAGTGTTCTTTAAGAAACTTAACGTAGAGAAAGTTGTTTCCAACTTTAAAAAAAGAGAATCTATAATATTGGTAAGTTTTGTACCTTGAGCGATAAGTGCGAGTAATGCGACGCATATTATAAACATTTTAATATAGTTATCAATTTACTGTCATTAATATTTAAACACATTTCATTCACAATATCAACCACTAAACTTTACACAGGCACGTTAAGCAAACACCCGCTTACTTCCTGTCTAATTTCCACAACTTGACTTGTCACTAAGTTATGAACGTTCTCATTGATGTCAGCTTAAGCAAGGTCCCTACTATGATTGGCTGTTGTAGTGTTTTGTTTACATTTCAACCAATCACCTTTGAGGCACTTTCACTTTTCCATTATTGGAAATGAATTTGATATTGAGAACTGACGAAAATATCTTTGATTTCAAAAATAATTTTAAATTATATTCTGAAAAAAATTGTTTCTGTGGATCTGGTTAGACCCAAATTGTCGTAGACTTATTACCTCTTATTCCATTTTATTAATTTCTCTATTATTATTAGATTTCACTTTTAAGTAATGCGTAAAATTCTTGTTTTTATTGTCCTATATTATTTATATGATAAATATTATGATATAAGTATAATATTACATTGTGTGACATTTATTTCTTTTTATTATAACACCCTTCACATCACACCACCATCTATAAGACTTTTACTCCGATTCTTACAAAATGAAAAGGAAAAGTCTCTTCAAAGTTGGATTCCTAAACGATAAAAATATAAAAGCCAAAAATAACTACAAACGCTCGGTATAATTTTTACGATTTGATTAAATGACTCGCCGAAAGTTTGTCTAAATATTATCTATATTTAAAGATTCTCTCTATGGAAGATCTTTACGGAAAATATTTAGTTAAATGTTTGTGGCAACACAAATTTACCTACATCGAAAATGTATATTAAGATTCCTGCTTTAAATGACTATATAAACTTTTACACCAAAATGATTTATTTCAAACTAAACTGAATTGAGATACATGATTAAAGCTCTTTTTATGAAACAGAAGGAATAAAATGAGAACTTAGGCCACTGTAGAGTATTTTACCGAAGTTTGTCGTTGATTAGGGTACTTATCACAATGAAGGCGATAAACACTTTTTAATAAGAAATTTTATTACTATTTCGACGAAGAATCGATCTACAAAAATCAAGAGCAAAGATTTACATGCTATAAGCTTTGCTATTTGGTACTTGAAGGGCCTTTGCAGCTATTGGAACGCAGTTCGCATTGAGTCGGTTGTAAATTTATGACTAGCTAATGTAGACGTGGCTGAAGAAATTTAGAATGTTTGTTTTTACCAATTAAGAAACTTTAAAAGATATGTGCACAATAAAATCAATAAACAAAGTAAGGTTTACCAGCCGTCACCTTGGGATTAAATAAAATCCGTCAAAGGTTTTCGCTTACTATCTACCCCGAAAGAAATAATTGTGAGACACATTTTACTAATGCCTTTTGTGATTTTAAATTTTATTTAGTTTTGTTTTATAAAACAAAACATATTTTACAGACGTTAAAACTAAATAAATTATCTTTTTGAAGGGGAAAAAAATCATGGAACACAAGTCATCGTCACCGAACGGTTTCCACGACCTATTTTTCATCATCATCATCATCATCATATACAACAACGATATGATACAAATACTGTTATTATCGTTCGGAGCGCCTATAAAATATTTAGAATTAAATATTATCTAAACATAGTGTTTAATCCATAAAAATATTTCGACACAATTATTTGTTAAAACTAATGCAGTTATGTTGAAAAGAAATGTAACTGTAATTATGTATGTTAACATCAAAAAATCTAAAAATTGTTGGGTAAGATAAGATAAGTTAATCATTAGGTGTAACAAATCATTAATATTGAACTACGTGTTAAGATAATTTAAAAATGGCATGCAAAATATGTCCGTGTGGTGTCGGCGTAAGAATAAGCCACCCCATCTCATCCCGTGGGTGTCGTAAGAGGCGACTAAGGGATAAGCCACAAACATCCAGTGGCCTCCGATAGATGGCGGGATAACCATCTTAATTCTCCAGACCCAAATATCCAGGCCAATAACGGGCAGCAGCGTTGAAGGTGCGAGGTGTCTGGAAGAACTGCGGTAGCCAACCCGCTCGCCAAGCGTGGCAACTATGGCAAAAACCCCTCATATATGGAAGTTCAAGGTGTACGGCCCCCAGTCCCCGGCGGCCCTGCTATTCCTGGCTACGGTAGCGGTCATGGTAACGGCAGGGCAGGGGGTGCTAAGAATCCCCGGCTAGGATTCGGCTACCAACGACGGCGACTGGACGCAAGAACATTGAGGACTGACGAGAAGATTACAGAGCTGGAAGAAGAGGTGAACAGGCTGCGCTGGGATATAATAGGATTATCTGAAGTCCGAAGACAGGGGGAGGACACGATAATCCTCGAATCCGGCAACCTGTTTTACCACCGGGAGGGCGACCAAATGTCCCAAGGTGGTGTCGGATTTATCGTCCACAAGTCTCTCATTAACAACGTTGTTAAAATCGAGGGTGTGTCGTCGAGGGTTGCGTACCTTATACTCAGAATATCCAAACGGTATTCGCTGAAGGTCATCCAGGTCTACGCACCAACGTCGACACATCCCGATGATGAGGTGGAGGCAATGTATGAGGATATATCACGAGCCATACATTCCTCCAAAACTCAATACATGGTGTTAATGGGAGACTTCAACGCAAAACTGGGCAAAAGGAAAGACGATGAGCTGAGAGTAGGAAGTTTTGGTATAGGGCAACGGAACCTAAGGGGGCAGCAGCTGGCTGACTTTATGGAGAAGGAGGGACTCTTTATGATGAACTCCTTCTTCAAAAAGCAGCCCCACAGAAAGTGGACCTGGATTAGCCCTGATGGTTCTGTAAAAAACGAGATAGACTTCATTATGACGAACAAACGGCAAATATTCAATGATGTCTCTGTGATCACAAGGGTGCAGACCGGCAGTGATCACCGATTGGTGAGAGGCACATTGAATATTAATATCAGGCTGGAAAAATCTCGTCTAATGAAGTCCACACTCCGACCATCTCGTGCCCATATCCAGAACTCCGAAAGCTTTCGGCTCGAGCTACATAATCGCTTCCAATGCCTAGAAAATTGCAACACTGTGGACGATATTAACGCTAAGCTCGTGGAAACTGTCCATGCCGTGGGCCTTAAATTTTATAAGGCCCGCCGCACAAATGGAACGCAAAACCTCTCCGATCACTCTTAACCTCTTGGGAAAAAGACGTGAGATGCGACTGCAGTCTTTAACTGACATGTCAGACTACAGGCGGCTTAATAGGCAGATCTCCAAATGCATGCGGCGAGACTTACGCATCTTCAATACAGCTCGTATTGAGGGAGCTATAGAGCGGAAACTAGGCTCAAAAGTCTTCGCCAGAGATCTGTCTATTGGACTAAGCCAACTAAGTTGAAGACTGACAGCGGGGCTGTCATCTCCAGTAGACCAGAGGTTTTGAGTGAGATTGAGAGGTTCTATGGACAGCTGTACACATCGTCGTTGGAGCCACACAGATGTGTGAGTTACGACCCAAGAGCAAAGCTTATCCGACACTATTCCGAGAATATCCCGGACGTCAGTCTGAGCGAGATTAGAATGGCTCCCGACCATCATAAGAATGGCAAAGCATCGGGAGAGGACGGAGTTACAGCAGAGCTTCTGAAAGCGGGTGGAGAACCGGTACTTGTAGTCCTTCAGAGGCTCTTTAATTTCGTCCTTCAGGGTGGTGCTACACCAGAGGCGTGGAGCAGAAGTGTGGTGGTGCTGTTCTTCAAGAAAGGCGATAACGCTCTCTTGAAGAACTATAGACCGATATCCCTTCTGAGCCGCGTCTATGTGCTGTTCTCAAGAGTCATCTTGAATCGTCTCGCTTCCAGACTCGACGACTTCCAGCCTCCCGAACAAGCCGGATTCCGGAAAGGCTTCAGTACCATAGACCACATACACACCTTGCGGCAGGTTATACAGAAGACCGAAGAGTATAATCTGCCTTTGTGCCTAGCGTATGTGGACTATGAGAAAGCCTTCGATTCTGTCGAAATTTGGGCGGTACTCCAGGCTCTTCAGCGGTGCCAAATTGACTGTCGGTATATCGAAGTGCTGAGGTGTTTGTATAACAAGGCTACGATGTCCGTCCAAGTACAGTCCAGTAGTACAAAACCTATCCATCTGCAGAATATTGTAAGACAGGGTGATGTCATATCCCCGAAACTCTGCACCGCTGCGTTGGAAAATGTTTTCAAGCTTCTGGACTGGAAAGGACGAGGTATTAACATAAATGGCGAATACATCACCCACCTTCGATTTGCCGACGATATAGTCATCATGGCAGAATCGCTGGAGGACCTGGGTGCTATGCTCAATGACCTCAACAGTGTCTCCCAACGGGTGGGCCTTAAGATGAACATGGACAAGACGAAGATCATGTCTAATGTCCATGTCACGCCTATACCGGTTGTCGTTGGGAGCACTGAGCTCGAAGTTGTTGACGAGTACGTTTACCTAGGACAGTTAGTCCGGCTAGGTAAGTCCAACTTCGACGCAGAGGTCAATCGGCGAATCCAACTCGGATGAGCAGCGTTCGGGAAACTTCGGCAAATCTTCTCGTCGAATATACCTCATTGATTGTGAAAGTCTTCAATCAATGTGTGTTGCCAGTGATGACCTACGGAACCGAGACGTGGTCTTTCACTGCTGGCCGTATGAGGAAGCTCAAAGTCGCTCAGCGAGCTATGGAGCGGGCTATGCTCGGTATTTCTCTGCGTGATAGAGTTCGTAACGAAGACATTCGCAGTAGAACCAAGGCACCGACATAGCTCAGAGGATTAGCAAGCTGAAGTGGCGATGGGCCGGCCATATAGCTCGTAGAACCGATAACCGTTGGGGAAGAAAGGTTCTCGAGTGGCAGCCTCGTACTGGCCATCGCAGTGTAGGACGACCCCCCACTAGATGGAGTGACGACCTGTGCAAATGCGCGAGAAGTCGATGGATGCAGGTGGCTCAGGATCGTACTTCGTGGCAGTCTATTGGGGAGGCCTATGTTCAGCAGTGAACTCAAACAGGCTGAAATGATGATGATGATGATGCAAAATATTAATGGTAACTATCAACTAAATTTACTTTACTATTTATATAAAGTTTACAAAATACGGTTATTATCAATTCTCAATTAAATGTCACTATTTATAATGAAGAGTAAAAAAAAATATGTATGTAATATCAAGACTTTTTATTAAAAATTTTTTTGATGTCATAAAAACTATTGATATACTAGCGACCCGCCATGGCTTCGCACGGGTGCAATGGATTAATATACATATAAACCTTCCTCTTGAATCACTCTATTTAGTAAAAAAAACCGCATCAAGATCCTTTGCGTAGTTTTAAAGATCTAAGCGTACATAGGGACAGATGGACAGCGGGACGGCTTTGTTTTACACTATGTAGTGATGCACAGCAAAGAGACGTTTACATTTCTAGTGACATTTTACCACAGTCACTCACTTGTTTTTCCTTCTCGGAACCGCTCCACTAACACTTCATGGTGTGGTATTAAAGTTCAAATTGACTTTTAAGTATCATTACGAATCTTTTGTACGGGAATATAGAGGTGTTGTTTTTAGAGTTTTTCAGGCAATTTTTGAAATTTTTCTCTCCGTAAGAACCATCTTCCTACTTCAAGGAATATTATAAAAAAACGAATTAGCGAAATCGGTCCAGCCGTTCACGCGTGATGGTGTGACCAAGGGAAATAGGGATTCATTTTTATATATATAGATTTCTACATTTTTATGTCATCCGGTGTTTTATAAAAATATCCGTCATCACATCACACGTCTTCAAACAACTATCATTAAGTTTTTCTTATCTGTTATACTCGTGTACAAGATAACCCAACTAACATTTACTTTATGAATTAAAAAAATAGAATTACGTAAACAATACTGAGGTGTAAAGTATTGTTGGGCTAAGTTTATCCAAACGAACACGTGTGGCAAAGTTGTTTGGATTTAAAAAAAGTTTAGTTTTTGAGTTGAACAGCAGTCATTGTGCACAATGTTACGTAATACGGGGAGGTATTAGTTCTTGGAAGCGAAAAGTGAAAGTCACCGAGCATGCGTCGCACTTGAGCTATGTATTCTGTGATCTTTCAGCCTCAACGACAAAAATTACATAAATCTAGTTTTTAACGTATGAAAACGACCATGTTCAAAACCATGACAAACATTTTGGAGAATCTGTTTCTTAGTCGTATTTCATGCAGCAATGGTACTAGGAATATGGCGTAGTAGAATAAGAGACAGAAAAACGTTCGATTCCTGTGGGATATATTCTTAATGATTAATTTTAATCCCGATCAGTGAAATAGCTGAATCCAATTGTAGTCAAAATACTTAATTCACAAAATTTTCGCTTTTAGTTTTTTCATGTTATTTTTTAATATAAAGCTATGAAGATGTGAAGGATCCTTGAACATTTAGAAATCCTGATGTATATTACTATGATTATGTATTTAACGTATCCATTGCTTAAATATCCATTGTAGTTGCCCCAAGAGTAAAGTAATATACATGAAGGAGAAGATATTGATTTAGGTAACATTATTGGTGAATACAGGGTGGCTTTTTTAAGTGTATCCATTTTTTTTATTAAATTATAGACATAAATAATGTTATATAAAAAATTATAAATATTTAAAATCACTCCTAAGTTGCATTCATTTGAATTTATCTCAATAAGTGCGTGATTTATACACAACTAAATCATTTTACGCGAAATCATTCATAACTAACATGCATAAAAGTTCATGCACAGTAAAATTTAAGTATTTATGAATGACTATCGCATTGTCAACACGTTCTGTTTTTTAGAGAATAGAATAGCATTTTTTTTGGAAAAAAAAAAACTTTGTTTTTTTATTTCAATAAACGATTATACTACTGAGTCTGAACCTTTTGTGTAAATTTGGGCACTTCTCAAAAAATATCCCTGTATTTAATATCACTTCACTTGTAAATCATTTTATATTTACTTGTAAAATAAAGCGTGAAGTAGCAAAACAAAGAAGTGTTTAGAAAGGCCTACCGAAGATATTATATAAATCATTGACTAAGCAATGATCAATAACTTAAAAAAAACAAGTTTTATAACGTTATTTATGAAGTAGGAGACAAAATACAGTCGTAAGTTCAATATATAAACCTTAGAGTTAATATAATTTTTAGTGCTAGTTTCTGTACACGGGATGAAATTTCAAACAGGCCGGCTCATGGTCGCTTGGCTTAATTATTAAAGTGTCCGAGCACCAGGGTGATCATGTCAAAAACGGAAAATCTGCCCGACACTAGCAAAAAATCTGCCAACATCGCACAAATTCAACTCAAAAAATTGCCAAAAATATGCCACCATATTATTGTATCGTTGGAGACAGTACAGTATAATTAATGAAATAGACATTCTTTCGCATGAGGCATTTGACATCTTCTTGGTCGTTCCCTCACTGCTGAGGATCGTGGCTGATATTCAATTGGTCAACGAGCTGTCTGTTGGTTTCGCTCTGTCGCGTGGTTGAGTCCTGCGTTTATGAGGATTTTCTACGTTTTCAGAAATTTAATCCTTTCAAGATTACGGCCTCTAGATTTTTTACTCTCTATTCACCCCATTTGACATAGATATACTTAAAACAGCTTTTACAAAGTTTGAAATATTTAAAAAGTAAGTTAAAAATGTTTTTACTTTGAAAGTCTCTTTCGGAATAATATTTGGTAACAACTGCAAGCGTTGATGTGGTTGTCACAAGTTTACAATTGCAAGCTTTGAAAAACGCAACATCAGGCATCATGGAAATCCAGGAAGGAACCGAAGGATCTTGTTCTCACTCAGGTCGGTACCAACACTCGTATTTTCTCTTCATCATGCACGGAAAAAAGTTGCCTTATCAGAAAATAATTTGCTACCAAATAATAATAGAGTAAATAATAAGACATAGAATATTATGAGTATTCTAAATATAAATATTAATTTATATGTACAAATGGGCCGTACGGCAGCGTTGGCTGTTGTACGGATGGACGGGCCCGTCTGGGTAAGTATCACGACCTCACAGAAGACCAGCGTAAAGTGGAAGTATGACAAATATTTTCGCGTTTCGTCTGGTGAGTGAGGTTGCCGGAGCCCAATTTTCAAAAGGTTGTAACCCTCGGGTGTGGCAGATGTCCATGGGCGGCGGTGTTCACTTAACATCAGGTGAAAAGTTGTGAACTTTTTGCATAAAAAAAAAACAAATGTATTTGAAAAATGATAAAGAAATCCTTGAATCTGCCAAATTCTGCCACTTTTTTGAATCATCAGCCTAATCTGCCACATCTAAAATTTTTGTGCAAAATCTGTCCAAATGACAGAAATCTGCCACAAATGGTCACACTGTTGGGCGCGTAACGCGGAAGACATAGGTCAGAATACTGGGGCGTTTAAAGTTTTTGACCATTTATCCACAAAAAATCACATTTCAAATACAATAAAAAACTTTAAGATTTAAATACACGTAAGCACATTTGATATTCCAATCCGTTTATCTCTGTATAGCCGATTACGTTGTTATTGACATCACAAGCAACACCACCAACACCACAACAAGCCTCGTTACCTTCTAAGCAAAGACGGGCAGTATTGAGGTGGTGGTTCGAATCTCATCGGCTTGGCCCCCAAGGTATATACGGTTACGTGAAAATTACGGTCTCACTTATAAGCTCGGTGAAGGATTATTGATAGTGAGTAAATTGATGGTACGTACCAGGAGTTAAAGACACACACAAATTTAACATGTATTTGGTCTGGAAATCTTTTAAATTTCACGCGTGTTGTATAAAGAGAGCTTTTAGAGCTTAGCGTGATGAAGGAAAGCATGGTAGTATTTCTCCACCCAGAAATGTACCGATCTGTTGGATGGTGGGAGTTATATTTCACTAATAATCATAATGCTTTCGAAAGACTATGTGATGCAGAAGGGCGATTCGAAGTCCAGAGCCACCGAACGAGGTTTGGGTTTGCGAAGTGAGATGTGGGATGTGGGATGTGGCCGTGACGAGATGCGCGCGCGCACCAAAAGCGTCGCGGGCGTCGGTGCGCCGGCAGTCTTGCGCCGCGCGTCGGCAAAGACGGACGTGTCTTGCTAAGAACACCCGTATTCGGTCTTACGTTGAGTGTACGCCCACATCCGACGATATGCATTACGAGGCGGCTTTCGTGCTGCTGTTCATGCTCGGTGAGTCCGAAGACAGAGTACTACATATTTAATTAGACATGGCATTTAAAAGGGTTTTCTTTAAATACTTATACGAGTAGGCAGATTCTCTTAAGACGTATATTGATAAAAGTTAAAGCATATCTCTTGAAACGCGTTCGTGTCTAAAGCGATGTTTCATTTAATACTGACTTTTTGTGACTCCAACCATGACTACGTAACAGTTTGTCAAAAAAAGCAAACTGTCTCAAAGTAAACTCTAATCGAGAGAGCGCAAGAGTTGGTAATAGAAATGAAAACGTTGCGAATCGCTGCCAACCGTTGAACCGGAGCGAGGCGGTGGCGAGCGACGCTGGTCTCGTGGCCACGGAGCGTGAGATTCAACGACCCGATCCCGCCACTAGCGCCTCGCGTTGGCACACATTCTACGGTCCCGACGAAAGTCACCGCCCTCGTCGTAAAAGCAGAGGATAGGTACTGTGGCAGGGCCACGCAACAGTCTTCTCTGTTGCACGAGTGGGCAGGTACCACGACCTCACAGAAGATCGGCGTGAAGTGGAAGTATTACACTTCTGCCTTTTGTCTGGTGAGTGACGTAGTCGGGTGTTGCAAATTTCAATGGGCGTCGATTATCACTTAACACCTGGCAAGCCACCTTAAAAAAATACTGATGCCGACCTGATTGCTCTTACCTCATTTCCTTGACCATGTAGAGCCTCATCGATGAGGGATACGGTGGCTTCGCTCTACAAGTAGAACCCACACAGGTATTTTGGCAAAACACCACTCGTCAATTTGGGTTTCTGGGTAAGGTCAAGTGAGCATTCCCAGAGTATTTTATTTTCATTACTTAACATAATGCATCTGAATATTGCCCCAAGCACTATTTTGGATTACGTGAAAATTTCACCATCTCCAAGTTAATCTATTTTATTTATCAGCTTGACAAAATAATTGTAGCTTAATTCATGTCTTGTATATGATATTTTCTTAATCTCCAATTATTGAATTCAGCCTTATGTGAGGATAACTATGTTTGTTATAATTACTATGTCGAACTATTGCGGTAAAGTAATTTTCGCTTGTACTACGCCGAGAGAGCTTTTATTTAAATTTTTTTTTTTAAATATTTAGGACACATTTGTACACAACATTTTCTAGTCCCAAACTAAGCAAAGCTTGTACTATGGGTACTAGAAAACTGATAAACATACTTAAACATACTTTTCTTTTGTAAATAAATACATATTCTACATATAGAAACACCCAGACACTAGAAAAACACCATGTTCATCACACAATATTTTTCCAGTAGTGGGGATCGAACCCACACCCTCTGGCGCAGGAGGCAGGTACACTACCCACTACGCCATTCGGGTCGTCAAGTACTTGTTGTGGTTTAGAAGTTTGGTTTCGCAAAATCTAAACAATGAGACAAATTGAATTTCTAATACACTGAACAGAAAGTCACAGGAATAATATATATTATATAAATTGGATATTTCGACTATTGGGACGTGTGACCTCGATTTTTCTATCAGGTGTTTATGTCAATAAATGGATTCAATTACTTCTTCAGTACGTATCGCAACCAGAGCAAGCTAATAAGTTGTTTTTCTTGCTAACCTAATGAGTGCTTCTACGAATGAAGAATGCCGTATATGGCGCCTTTGTTAATATACGAACTCTTAAACTGTACACACAATGTTTTGTTATTATAATAAATCCGCACTATTTATTTGTGTATTCGCTTACGTGCAGCCAAGATTCAAGTTTTGGGCATAATAGCCGAAATTGTCAAGTTGTCGGTTCTAGTTTCACGTGGAAAGAGGTGGAGACAGGCGGCGCCGGAATGTTGGCGCCGGCGCTGCGCCCAAGTCATTGGCGGGAGCTTGAAACAATAAAATATATCCAAATGTTAGAAGCGTTTCCTGTACGGGCCTACCGTATAGGAAACAGTTTCAAATATGTTATCCATTGAAGGAGCAAATAACAAGTTATATTTATTGAATTTTCACGAAATATTGTTATAAGTATAAACATTATGTAAGAACATGAGGACACTGAGAAACATGAGGAATATTTGATTAAAATAACTTTTGATTTTTATATATTAGAACCATTATTTAAAAATGATATTCTGATTTTTATTGATAACGTGTGACCAGCGACATTACATTAAAAATGTTTAATGTTAATAATTTATTACACTTTAAAATCGCTTGAGTTCGTGGCTTGGACTGCGAACAAAGTTATTATCACAGCTCGACATTTCGCATCGCGGTCATTGGGAATAAAGTATGCGATGCAAACACTGAAGCCGCGGATGGATTTTATTATCGTTTCTCTTTTGTTTTTATTGTATTGTACACGGTACCAAATGCGGACTGGTTGGCGCGTGTGTAGGTCAAAAGAAGCTATCGCGACGAGATTTATTTAATCTTGTGACTACTCACAAAATGCTTTATGTTACATGTTAAATTGGACAGCAAATGCAGACATTTTTACGGTGGTACGGTCACGCATCAGCTTCTACTGTTGCAGGAACGGGCAGGTACGTCCGGAGAAATACCACAGACTCACGCAATATCAGAGTGAACTGGAAGTTATACTTTTGCGTACCGTATGGTGAATAAGGTTACCGGATATGGATGGGCAATTAAAAGAAAAAAGCGATATTTATCGTATCGACATTTTTTTAAAGTATTGGTAATTACCGAGTGAAAATATCGATATATCATCAGTTTTCACATAACTATTGATACATATTTCCAAACCATTCATAATTCGTAAAAAAGGATAACAACTAGTAATTTTTATTAATGCTCGAGTCTAAACAATTCTATTCAATTTAATCAAACCGCCTGTTAAAGGGCATTGTCGGGTACTGTTAGATTCACGGATCAAGCAGCGTGAAGAAGTCTGGCAAATTACCTGTCTTAGGGCGAATTCTGAAAGAAACGGCGTGAACTGCTGACAATTTATCCAAAATTTCCATGGATGAACTGACTTTATTTTAAAACACAAGTCGGCTCGTCACAATATACGCCGCAATTTATGTTAATTATATTCAGTTAAATTATGTTAACATCAGATACTTACATAATCTAGTATCAATGAAAATCTTTAAATATTCATATTCTGAGTGATATCGATAAATATTCTGTTTAAGGATAGTGGTGTGATTTTGAGCTGGCCTCAATTTTGAAACAAAACTTTACAATGTACTTCGGTCTGCAACATGATTCATATTTTATCCCGAGTTTCCTTTGGAATATGGTATCAGGATATCAATAACATAATATGTCCCTCCATTCTTTACTGGAACGAAATCGACAAAATAGATCGAAGCAAAATTTCGAGAAGAGTGTGCTTCTATGCGTATAAGTTTAACTTTTATATATATTTACTAGCAAGCAGTAAAGAAAGTGTCAACATTGTTGAGAATTAAACATAATGTACGTCATATGTATCGATTGGCTATAATATTTCTTGAAATATATCTCAGTTATTTGAAAAATGTATAAACATTATTAATTCGCCTTATTAAATGCATTTTAGTGTATTTTAAATTCACGGGCACATCGTTGCTTTGAAGTCATTATTGTTTAGTTTTTGATTGTTTGTTATGATGTTTATACCTAACCAAATGGAATTGGAAATATATCGACCTTGCGCGTTTTTTGTTCTCGCACAGTTTCACGCTTGGAATAGTGTCGTCCGATGAATTCGTTAAGCCGTTACATATACGAGCCTCGTCCGACCTTAACCTAGTGGCGTTCAGCCGCGTGGCTAACGGAATGTTTCACTCTCCATTGCTGGCAACAGACGCAGGAACCAATCTCGGAAGCCCACCGACCCACTACACGGAAACATATCTATGATGTGCATTAATGTTTCTTCACATATTAAGTACTATATTACAAGGATGTAACAATACGGGTATATGGTAAACACCTACTCTTTTTATTCAATTCTTAAGTTGTAACTAATAAGCATGACGTGGCCTCTTAAAAGGATGTTGGAAGGATGATTTTTTTGTATTCTATGTAGTTAATGTAATATTTCTTTATAGCACTACTGGTGGCCCATCTTTAAAAGAGTAATAAATAAAAAAAACATTTTACCATGTTACGCTTCTAATAATGTACAAATTATACGAAAACTATATTAGATATTAATGTACTTTCACTTTTAGAATTATTTGCATACGTATTATATATATAAATGTCTACCAGCCAGAAGGGCACGCAGAGATCACGATTTGCTTTCTCCGGACACTTTTGCGTCTCTCCACATAAATGCATTCATTTTCCCTTTGATTTTTATGTTTCAATAAATCTGTAAGTTGTGCGGTTGCTCCACAATAATAAACACAGAAAGCGCAAAGAGAGGAGCCAAAAGTAATGTAAATAATCGTCCTCTCTAAAATCACTCGGCGTCGTCGGTGAGCAGCCGCATTCCTCGCCGCCAGTGGGTCACATGCCAACGGTACCCGCAGCGGTGCTTCCACCGCTCCTCCTCCTGCTCACCCCACCCCACCGGAAACCCCTAGATTTATTCCGAACATCTGACTCCTCTCAAATCTACTAATAGGCCCGAAATATTTTTCACTCTATGGAAATTGAAATGTATTACAGGTTCATAAATTAGTTTCATTAAAATAGAAGAATATTGATAAATATCTCCGTGGTGGTTCTTATTTTTCATTTCTTTTTTCGTTTAATATAATTTTATACCGAATTTATTGAATTCAAGTCTAACATGTTTGGCTTTACAATGAACACAATAACGGGACTTTAGTTCCTAGAGGTAAAAATTTTAAACTTTTTGACAGAAGTCCTCGTAACAAACTTGTCAATCACGAGATGTCCAACAGTTATGCCGTCACCAAACCTAATTATTTACCTACAATATTTCTTGTATTCTCGATTATTACACGTTTAACGGTATGTAGAAAATTTTAAATGAAATATTTCTTTATTTATCAAAATGATGACCCTTTTATTTTACACATAAGCCACTCGAATGAAACAACAACCTCTCATAAGTAAATCGCACGTTGTCGGCTTCAGTCGCTTGCTCTTATGGCAATATAAATAATGTAAACAACGTTTCGTAAAATCAAATTTAGGATAATAATTTTATAATTCCGAAACTAGTACGCATAATTCCTTACGCAAATGATTTCATTAAATTGAACGCTCCATTAGCATATGTTCATTTCGCAACGTCACATTTTGTTTCTGGCCGGTTGGAGAGCTCAAAAGCGCTTTTCAATATATATATATATATAAAATATATATTTGACATCAAAATAAGCCCACTGGAAAGCGATTGTTATATCTGTTAACCTATTAAATGTAGCAATAGCTTGTGTTTTATTTTGCTAAGGATTACATTATGTAACGCATCAAAAGAATTGTCGTCTTAATTGAAGCCTCGGTCGCCCATGTCCTCTCCTCCTCTCATAATGTAAGGCGATTAGTACATTGCACTGTTATTGTTGCTTTTCTTTAAGCGGAAGCAGATTTTGTAACAAAATGTTCTCACACGGAATATAAAGCGGTATAATCAGTTTTCATTACATCAATAACACACAAGTAAAACATTCACAGATTATTACATAATAATTTCCCTTGTTTTAATAATCGCATGCAAATGGAAACTCCTTTATAACGTCCACTTCCCACGAACGGCTTTGGAAGCGGCCTGAGAGCCATGGGAACTGTTTGTTACGTGGCACAATAGGGAAGCGGAGCCATTGATGTGTTTCTTATGACTGAATAATTCGTTGCCATTAGAGGAAGCTCACTGCCGCAATCGCTTTTATTCAATGTTGCTGTTGATCAATCGCCTGCTGCATTCAGTTTTGGGGTGACCTGCTTGACGCTCTGAGTACGTTGGTTAATTTTATTTTTTTCATTGAGTTCTCTAAATTAACTTGTAAAACTTGTAAACTTCCTGATAATAGCAAATATAAATTTGCAATATTAGTTACAAGTTTAAAAATAAAAAGCGATTTTACATTATTTTGTTTCTTATTAGGGTTCTGTCGCTTTCGCAAGTTTGGTGTTCTTTGGTCTCACCTAAGTTCTAGTTAAGTTTGCACGCTGTTAATGTTAACAGATGATTATTAAAAAAAATATAAATCCTCATATTACCCTTAATTTAATTTACAGCGAGTTGACCTTTTGGCATGTTAGTGTGGAGAAGAGCGCATGGAAAGTGAGAAAGTGGTCAAGCAACGGAAGCCAGTAGTGATGAATGACTTGATACAAATTAGTTCAAACTTTCACACTTGTAATTATTTTATGAAAGGCAAAAGAAAAGAAGATAATTGAACGCAGCAACGTAGATGTGGAAGCCGTGATAGCTCAGTGTCCAGAGTCGCTTTGTATTCAATATAGCAAACAAAGGTCGGCAGAGCTCTAATCCCTAAGACTGCACATATTTTAATATTCTTTTGCTTATATATTTGTTACTTACTCTGTGATGGATAAAAGGAATTCAAGTCAAGTCAATGTATTAAAAACAATGTGAACAATGTGTTACGCAAAAGCCAGAAGTAATAATGTCACTAAGTTAAAGCATTTATTTTGATCTTGCCACAGAACGATTATATTGCATAATTCATCAAATAATAAACTACTGCAGAGTTTGTAAGTTTCGTTGGTTAAAGCGGAAATATTTTTCCATGGGAGTTCAACCTTGACCCAGCTTATTTGGTTGGTGGCCTTAAACACGAGGTTAATGAATTAGGACGTGCAAGATTAGACCCGTGAGAATAACGATCTAACGACCGGACGTCTAACGATTCTCTTTGACTGTTAAGTATGCGTAGCTTGTATAAGAACGTCTTGATAAAGTACGATCGTACTTAAATTCGGAAGTTGAAAAT